ATTCATATCAAATTGTGCATCAATATTACTTTGATGGTATATTCTATTCTTGAAAAAGAACCATTGGGATTGTCTCATAACAAAGTTGACATGAAAATGCTTAATAAAGGTCGATGCATATATTATATTTTGTAGGGGTACTCAAAAAGTTTAAATTTAACTATTTGATAGTGTAACCATATCTCTTATACTAAGACTTTTGTGATGTCCCACATTAGTTGGGGAGGAGAACAAATCACCATTTATAAGGGTGTGGAAACCTTCCCCTAACAAACGCGTTTTAAAGCCTTGAGGGAAAGCCCAAAGAGGACAATATCTGCTAGCGGTGGATCTGGGTCGTTACACCTTTGTTTGCGAAAATTGAGATAAGTCTTTCAAGATTCGAAAGTTCGTTCTTTGAAAGAGTTTTGCTTGCAACGGTAGAGTCTCCTCTTCCAAGTTTTACTTTCCAAGATGGACCACCGACCTAATTTTTTTTTAACTATATATGACAATATTAGTAAAATAACTTCATACAAATGAAGAAATATCAAGTAAAAGAAGCATCTCTGGCCGCCACAGCAAAAATATCGACACAAGATACAATGTCAGGACAAATCTTCTCAACTTCGCTCTTGGCCTTGTGAATCACCCTATAACCTCTAACAGAATTTCTATTTGGCGCTGCATTTTGTTCACCAATCATAGACAGAGTATCATCAAGTAATATTGATACATCACAGCCTTGAACGAAGCAATCATCGAAATGAAGGCGAATGATAGATTCTGCCATTCAATGTTCTTAAGAAATTGCTTGCCTAATAACGGTTTTAATTGTGGTGAGTGCACTGGGACAAGTTTGATCGTAAAAGGTAGACGAAAGTTGGGCGTTGCATGCTAAACAAAGAAGCAGTAACGTGAATAAGGGAACAGCTACTTGTGGCATTTCCATTTACTCGGAGGAAAAGAAGCCTTTAATTTGGTGATATTGAAAAAGAATGTGAGAAAAACGATGGTTGGAATAATTCCTAGCGGCGAATTTAAATCTTCTTTACTCAATGGATGCAAAAAGAGCCTAAAGAAGTCCAGATGAGCTCAAAACATCAAATATTTGTTGGATGAGGAGTCTTGAAACTACTAGCTTTGGCTCTGTCATAAGATGAGAGCCTAAAGAAGAAGAGGAATCAACAATAGGTTCCGTAGAGAGTGGATCAGAAGTCGGTGGCAAAGAGAAATTTGCAAAAGAAGTATCAACCTGCATAGACTCATCCACAAGGTCAGAACAAATATTACAAAAAGAGAAGCTGGATCGAGGAATTTCCAATGAAGAAGGGGTAGGAGGATGAATCAATATGGTAAAGACGCGGTTCCAAGAAGTTTGAAATACGAAGAGAGGAAAGAGGTTGAACTTGGGAGCTAAGGACATCAAGAAAGTAAGTTTCATCAAATTGTGTATCGCGTGATGTATAGCCTAATAGTGGTGGGATTAAGATAATGAAACCCTTTATGATACGGACTATAACCTACGAAAATGCAAGGAATGCTACGAGAAGAAAGTTTGTTAGGTATATATATAAATCAGGCAAACAAAAATAAACACTACAACCAAAGGGATGAAAATGAGAGTTTTAATCAAATGCCAGCGTGACGTTTATCTTAATATGATGATGTTTTCCATATTGAGCATGTCATATGATGATGAGTGCCATATTGCATCATGTCGTTAGATCGACATAGGATACAACCATAAGAGCATGAAAATGATATTATTATAAATATCCTCGAGTCTGTGTTACCTAGAGTAACAAAGAGATGAGACTAGAGGGTTGTGTCAGAAGAGACGTTATGATGGATTTAGAAGGACCTCATGCATATTGTATGTTCATAAGCATAGGGCTATTTCCCCTAGAGATGATGAGTGTGGACGCGCACAGTACGATGATGAGTGCAAATGTGCACGAGCACGAATGCGCACAGATGAGAGTGTTCATGAGGCGCATGACACTATGGGGTTCCGCTGACCTCTGGATGTCGCTACAGATTAGCTTGACCAAAGGGTCTAGGGGGTGTGCGAGCGTCCTGGGGATTTACACTCGTACGTGTGAGTCGTGTGTAGGAAAGTACTACACATCCAATTTGTTTGAGACTAGAGGCTACCCTTATGATGATTAGAGACAGATCCCTAAATCATGATTGCATGTGTTTGCATTTGCATGACACCCTATAGTGGGGCCACTAACTAAGTATTCTTTGAAGTACTCAGGCCGTGTGCCACATCATTTTTCAAGTAAAGGCAAGACGTATTTGTACGAAGGACGGCGACATCGCGAGTAGAGACTTTGGCACGGGCATAGGGTAGACTCATATTTAAATTCCTAGTCTTAAGTTAGAATAGGTGTTTTTTCATTTCATTATTTTAAACTGATTTGTATTTGTTTTTATTTTCTCTAAATTTCAGTATTTCGTATTTAAGCACGTAAGACCATGGTTGTGTTTTCCAAAGAAAAAGCTGTTTTAAGCGTTTTTCGAAGTTTAAGTTAGAAATAATGTTCATGTAAGAGTTACATTTCCGCATTAGAGATGAGCATGAGACTATAGTAGCGATTCTGAGTATGTGGAAATTTAGGGTTGTTACATACATACGAGAAGACACTAAAGACGTAAGAGAAATGTCTTTTTTTTTTAATTATTATTTAAAAATAAAATAACATAATAATTCGCGTGACCCAAGCAAGTATACCATAAATCACATGAAGCACGTATATATTTATTTTTAAGAATAGAAATAAAGGCAGAGTTGCTGCACTTCAGTACATATCTCTTCATCACTTCTACCGGTTTACAACACCCTTCCTTTTTTATGATTCTAGTGAGTAAAAAGATTATTAGTAAATGTAACGAAGGGAGAAATTTAGACGTTCATTAAAAAAATATTTTTAATGGGATGAGGGACAACCAAGACATCTAATGAGTGAATATTTGAAATATGAGAAAGAGTACTAGTGTGATTAATGGATAGAGAGACGTCGTTTTCTAGGACCACCGAGTCCTTACGCATATAATTTTTGGACTGATCCAAAATAGATGGATCGGTCTTCATATGGGCCAAAGCCCCAATGTCCAAAAACCAATTAGCAGTCTCGAATCCACCAATAGAATAGGACGTGCTGAAAGCTTCGGCAAGGTGAGCATGAGCAGAGTCAGTCCGAGCATACCGTTGGTTGAAACGGTCAACATAATGGTCCTCAGCGCGACATATTTGGCAACAAGGTAATCGACGACCTTGACCCGAATGGGTTCGTCCTTAGTTGGAAGAGTTGTTATCGTGGTTGCTACAGGAGCAGAGTGGCTTCCATGGGTGTGACTACGATTAGTAGTTGTGAATGTTGCAAGAATGGAGTCAAAATGCTTAAGGGAGTGTTGAATTAACTCAAAACTTTCAGCTTTAGAGGTTAAATCTGCAAAACATGAGAGAGGGGTGAGAGCCACCTGAGCAATAGAAAAAGTTGAAAAGTCAATGCCGAGTCCACAAAGCAACCAATGCACTTTATCAATTTTTCAATGGGTTTGCCAATGGTATGAAGTTGGTCACATATTATTTTGAAGGTATGGGCATAATCAGCAAAATATTAGGTGTCATATTTCATCAGCTGCAAGTCATCCTTGAGTCTTAGTTCACAGGCTTTTGAATGATGGCTGAACATAGTCTTCAATGCGAACCAAACATCACAAATAGTAGAAAGACCAACGACGACAACAATGGATTTCTTGGTGAGAGAGGAGAGAGAAAGAGACAAAAAAGTCGTTGATCAACTGCTTTCCACGTCAAATATTTGATGCTGAGTGTTGAGGAGGTTTCAAGTTCAAAACGAGATGGTGAAACCAAAGTCCCATCATCGTAACCCAACATATCTTAACTCTTAAGGAGAGGGAGAAATTGACTTTTCCAAAGAAGATAATTGGAGGAAGAAAGCTTGATAGTGATGGTATGGATTAGAGTGTTGAAAGTAAGAAGATGAGAAGAGGTTCAGAAACCGTTAAAAATAAAGGATCAGGGTCGTTAAATCAAACGGGTTCTGATACTTTGAAAATATTTGCTCAAACCACCCCACAAGAAGAGTGGTAAAAGTTTTGTATTTGTAATCATTTATAAAATCAAGTAGATTACAAAAGGAATGGAAAGAACCTAAATGAATACAATATATTAATCTATAATCAAAGGTCAAATATAATACATATGGCTAACCATAATCGAATGATAAGTATCCTCAATAATACAAGATATTAGTCTATAATTAAGAGTGAAATATTATACATATATAAATTATAAAGGAAGGCTAAGTGTCCTCAACAAGATCTTTGCATACATGAAAATCTAAGATAAACTTTTGTTTGTGTATAGGAATGGTAGTAATTACCTATATGTGTGTATAAGAATATTTTTATATATGAGAATTGCAATAATTACCTATTGTGTGCATGAGATGTGTTGCATTGTATGTTATGGCCATGGGTCAATTATCTGTGTGCATGAGAATTGTACTGACCTTGTGACAACTACTCTTACGTATGTATGAGGATTGTACCACTATCTTATGATTTTTACTTATAGCAACTATTCATCGGCATAAGAATTGATTAATATTTTTTAAAATAACTTGTTACATAATGATTAAAAAAGAGGACATAGATGATAAAAATATGAAAACGTTGGTAAAGAAAATAGAAGAAAAAATTGAGTTATCAATCATGCCAATTTCTTTGAAAATTTAATTATAAAAATTATAAAAATTATAAAAATTGTGTAATAATTATGAAACGTTACATGTAGTAATTAATACAATATGGTTTGAAGTACTATATAGACTATAAATGTATGAAACAACTCCAAAGAAATACGTGTGCTAAGAAATTACAAATTCAAAAATAGAAAATTTGATATGAAAAAATTATTAAATAATTAGAATCGTAAGAAAAAAATAAAAATAAATAAAGAGAAAACCTGCGGCCCTTTTAAAGTCCGGCCCGTATTCGTATGACAGGCCTATACATTGCGATTATCATGAGTCTGTTCTTCAACTGAGATATTCACAGTCAAGCTCACGAACCGGAGACGACAGGCGAAGAAATCAGATCGATATGGAAGTCCAGGGATCCTCGAAGAAGATGATAGCGACGCAGGCTGAGATGGTGGAGGCCAGGGTTCCAATTCCTTACAGAGACCAGTGCGCTCACTTGTTGATCCCTCTTAATAAGTGCCGCCAATCCGAGTTCTACCTCCCATGGAAATGCGAAAACGAGCGCCATTCCTACGAGAAATGTGAATATGAGCTCGTTATGGAGAGGATGCTTCAGATGCAGAAGATCCGTGAGGAGGAGGCCAAATTCAAGAAGGGTATTCCTCTCATTCCCAAGACTGCCAATGTATGACGTCATTCCTTAATCAGGTTCGTTTCTCTTGCTCTCTAATCTTCTTAAGCGTTATCGATTCTATTGATATCTTGTTATTTTTACCGTGTCATCGATTTCTCATGATCTTGGTTCGAATGTTCAAAGTTCTATGTTTTCTTTTTCTCCTTTCATATTAGGGCTATGATCTTTCTGAGCTGACACCGGATCGTGGATTGACCCCTATAGCATGATTAGAATATATTTTTCTCTTGATTTATGTTGGAACGGATAAGAAAACGCATAAACTTATGGATGAAGGCGTTTATGAAATTCTAGTATGACTTACACGAAGAAATATGTGTGCAATATACGCCAGAATTGGAGAAATGAAAAAATTTGGGAATTTTTATAAAGGAAGAGCTGTTCTTCTGGGCTACCTAAAGTCAAGTAAAATAATAAGATCATTATTTCCCAACCTCGGGTGCTTGGGCACTACTTAGGGAACCAGTTATTTCCCCACCTTTGTCAGTGAAAATAGAAACTCCTAATTGGTGGAAACAATTGGTCACACATCATAAATCTTTCTCTAAAAGACCAAGGACCTATAGTGGGGTCTTTTTGTATTCACTTGTGCTTATGAAATGAACCTACTCGATTGACTACTTGAGACAGGTCCATTCATCATTTCTTCTGGTCTGCCTCAAAACTCTCTAAGTTCACTTGGAACTTCTTATTGTGAGAGGGTATGTGCTCTTTTAGTTCTACTACTATGCTGCATTTGTTCAAATTTCTAAGGTCTTATAGTAGTATATTGTGTAAGGTTGTGCTGTAGGAAATTCTGTTTTCTAGGATAGTTAAAAGAAAATTCTACTATTTTAAATTAGTAACTTTCATGGAAAGAGGGTCCATCCTAAGTGCAAATGATGCTCTGAAGTTACGACTTATGTGAGTCTATTTTTCAACGGTAAAAGGATCATTATCATTTATCACAGCGGCCACACAAGCTTTCCCATTATTTAGGCTCACCGTGCTTGTTCTTATTGTGTATTAGGAAATTTCTAAGAATTCCTCCCTCAGACGGGTTGAAAGAGTACTTGTTATATCAAATAGGAGATTATCAAATTTACTTGTGTACTTTTTTAATCTTCACTACTTATTTCTTGATTCTGGGAACTCTAAAATTTTAGTGATGAAGCTTCATATGAAATTAAATTTTTATGATGCAGTAGAAAGTTACAAATAGTAAAAAACAACCCCCATTGCACTCTGTTTAAGAAGATTGCATCATAGCAGTTTCTGCAAAAATTATCTCCAAATAGACAACTTCCAACCCAGACCCAGAGCCTCTAGGAAAAACTTTCCCATCTTGAATTTATTATAGTATAGAGAAAGAATAGCAACAGAACTCTCTTTCTAAAGAAACCTGAAATGAACGATTTTCTTTGCAACATTGTACCACCTCCAGTCTACAATCAATGACAAAAAAACCTCAATAAATGATCTATTATTCCTTTCCAACCAAATATTTAGTTTGAGGGATTGTACAGCATTTATCGAAAGCTTCTTTACTATTCCTTTGATCCATATTCTTAAAAAAAAAAATTGCTTCTCATGTTTCTTTATTAAAGAATGATGAAAAAAACCCAAGAGAACCCCAACATTAGAAATAAAGAGTTACACATTTTCTTGCTAAAAGAGCGTAAAACAAATAAGAGCAATGTATCCACATTGAAAATTGAAGAATGACATTTTTTTTTTTTAAGTTCTCAGACAGTGTACTCAGGGTACACTCATGTGATTGCACATAGCAAGAGGTTATGTAAGGCATATGTCAATTGCTTGAGTAATATCTTAAGCGAGCATGTTCAATAAGGCACTTCTTTTCACTCACAAATGAAGAGGAATCAAATAAAGAAGAAGAGGGGGAGAGGAGGAGGAGGAGGAGGAGGAGGAGGAGGAAGAGTTAGAAAAAGAAGAGTGGGAGGCTGAAGAGATGGGAAAAGAAGAAGAAAAGAGGGAGGAGGAGACAAAGTCAAAAGGCTCATTCTTACATTTGCTAGAAGCACTAATGAAGTGCTAACTACATGACATTTGAATTATCAAATGGCAATATTCCTCGAATAAATGCACGTGTTTTTATTTATAACTTTGTTGAAATGGTTGCTTGAGGCACAAGACATGAGGTTGTTTTTATACAAAATAAAAGACCTATTGCTTATTTTAGCGACGTTCTTTTGGAGTGGTACACCGAAAACTAACTTATGAGAGCTTGTTGTCATTGCTTTAGAAGTACAAAAAATGGAGATATCATGTTTTGGGTAGGAGCATTGGATGATTTATCAAGTTCATCTTCATTGTTTTCTTTTTCAAGCTTTTCAATCAACCATTCTTACTTGACCTCATTATCATTAAAACCTTTATTCTTCTCTAATGAAGAATCAAACTTTCTCTGAGGAACAAATGAAAGAATACAAAGGTTTCCTAAAAAACAAGTGTGCAAAAGAAAGATTTGCTAAAGGAAAGGATTCAAAATGAGTGACCCTAACAAATAGTTACAAAAAGACTTCATCACCAACCCCGAATGAGAAACATTGAACTTATCTAGGGAGTAGAAATCACAAGGGCCTCTCTCCACTCTAAATATTCTATTGTTCCTTTCCTCCTCACATAACCCATAATAAATCACACGTTGGCTTGCCACAAAAACCTCCATTCCTCTCAAAAAGGCAAATGAAGAATGGACTTTTCAATCATCTCCCTGTAATCTCTGGCCTCCTAAAGGCCAAACAGTTCAACCAGAAAAATACTCAATATAGATTGAGAAAAGTTGCAATTTCTTAGATATGATCTAAGCTTTCCTTTGCCTTCTGACAAAGAATGCCACAGAATGATAATTTGATCAAAGAAGAAAACTTGATTAGAAGCCAATTTAACATGCTTTGATAAGGCAACCTTAATCCTCAGTTTGACAATCCAAGCTTTTGTTGAAGCTAAAACCCTTGAATCAAAGAGATTAACACCTTCTTATACGAAATTTGGATCAACAAAGAGATAAATGTAGAATTAGATTACCTCTTAAGATCAAAAATCTAGAAGCAAGATTTGGAACTTTGTTCTAAATTGAGTCGCTCCACAATCGAACTTGATCAAGGCTTGATTGAATGACTCGGATGTAATCTACCACAAGAATAACATGAAACTTATAAATGACAAAGATGCTTAAATTTCTAAAGGTGAAAATCTCAATTTGAGAGCTTAATTTCATTCCTAAAAAATTTTAATTTTGTTTTTACATACTAATTTGTGGGTATTTATAGTCTCCACAAAAGAAACTCCAACTTTAAAAATGTTCACTAAAAGATGTTAGTGGCCATGATTGGTAAGTTACTCCCCACTACCCTTCAAGTGCCCACTAAAAAAGAAGTTAAAAGGCCATTTTGATGAGTAACATCCCACCCTTTTGCCCACTACAAGAAGTTATGGAATTAAAATAATAAATAAAGTTTGCGAATAAATTATCAATCAAGTGCTATTTATAGCAACTCCATGCTCCACTTCAATTGTGCTTTCACTTTCGATGCTCCAAATGTTTCTTCCTCAATCGAATTAGCTTGTAACACATGAAATAAAGGTTGAACCGAGCCTATCCAATTTTCTAGATGAAGAATGAATGCTCGTTGAATCTTCTTGGTCTTGGATCGTGTAATAGGTCTAGTTGGAACATTTGGAACACCGTGATCCAAGGCCAAGAAGATGCATTTGCTTTTGGAAATTTTCCCTTCTATGAAGATAAGAAAACATACTCACTAGACAAACCCCTTCTAGGATCAGTACTCCAAAGGCAAAAATCCAAACTCTCCAATCAATGATAAGAGAGCCATGTCATTCATCGTTTCTTATTGGACAATGAACGCTAGAAACCAAGTGATAAAAAAGGAGAGCTCATAGATTGAACGACGTCAACCACAAAATAGTTTATGTAGATGTCAAATAATACAAACGAGGAAATGTAATGCAAAGTGGTCAATCCCCCCATCCATTTATCATCCAAAACGTATGTTTCCTTCCGAACATAAGAAAAAGTGTACCAAGTGAGAAAAGAAGGGAGCTCATTGGATATTTCTTTCTACAAGTTTGGTCCCTCCCAAGCTTCTCTAAATTATTGCGAACAGAATAGGGAAGCTTTAAAAAGGAGAAAAAGTATAAACCATAGTAGGTTTGTCACCGTCAACAAGCCTTAAAACAAAAGTTAAGGGTCTTGGTGTCTTTAAACTATGCACAACTGAGTATCTAAAAAAAAAGATGATATCAAAACAGTGTCAGCTGCTTTCTTACCCTTTGGTTCCTTTGCCCATCTACAAGTTGTCTATATTTGCTATGAATATTTGCTAGTGTAAGATGAGGTCACAAAACAGGTAGTAGTTCGTCTTATCAATCTACTGTGATTTGTGGAACTCTCTCATCTTGTTTAGCACATACATGTGGTGATAAATAGGACTACTAAGTGCCACAACTCTTGTAAGACACCTTTGGTCCTTTCCAACATCTTCCATAATTAAATCTGAATAATGAACGACACATTGCTTCCACTACATAAATAAATGGGGCCATTTTGCTTTTAAATATTTTCTAGCTCGGTTGAGATCTATAGCAATGCAGATTACATTTTCTTCTCCAATTTTCTCCACCATGCCATGGCATTTGAGCAGTTCAAATCTATTTTCATCAAAATTGATGTTGGAAGATGCATCAATGGATTTCAAAAATTGTTTCAGCAGAAAGATAAACTAAAAATGTCATTAGAGTTTTGTCCTTCCAATTAGTTCTGACTCATCTGAGATCAATGAACAACCATTTTTTTCCTTTCAACCTCATGACTAGTTAATAGATCATTTGTGAGTTCTACTTTCTTTTCCAAGTAGGTTACTCTAGCCTCATAGTAAGAAGGAGATATCAGACTGAGACCAAATTGCCCCACAACTTCTAGCATCACATGAAAACTTCTTTAAGCGAATAATACTTCTAGGATCAAATGAAAACTTCTTTAAGTGAATAATGCTGCTTGATAAATACGGCATGTGATGAATTGTATTGTTCTATCCTTCCCCTCTTAGTTCTATACAATGGTTGATTGCTCAAGCCTTTTCAATCTATTTCTATCATTAACAAGTTTAGTCGAATGTGGACAAACAAATTTATGCAAAGCCCCACTTCGCCATGGTGGCTTTGCTTTTGATCAAGATTGACATTCAGAGCTGGAACTAGCTCTTTCTCTTCTTCCTTAACACATTGCAACTCATGGTTATTTGCTTTCTAGATGTTCCACATTTTTAACCCCCAACCACTTTCATCACATCCTCGTTTATCTTCTTCATCGCATCCTCCTTTAAGTCAATAAGCATCATAGTTTGGGAGGGCATTACTCTCTTCCCTCTTTGCTTTTGACCTTATTTGGTACTGTTTCATTTCATCTCTTACACTTCAAACATGCTTTTATACATTCCTATTTCCTCCAACTAAATGTTGTGCTGCTCAACAAGTGCTACGTTTGAGAATTTGTTTGTAAATGTAAATTAACAAGTGCTTGTATCCTATTCATTTTCCCAAAGGGCATGTTTCTCATCAAGAAGTTTGCATTTTTACTCCACTTCTCCCATCTCACTGTAATAGTATATTTTTATAATTTAATTATTTAAATAGAGGATTCAATAAATTGTTTAAAAAAAGAAGTATTGAGGATTCAGTAACAACCTTAAAAAAAGGCTCAAGAGAGATCCTTTGGGGATGTGATTTTCCCGATGGCATTTGGACTGGTTGTTTTTAGGCATTTAACTTTCGTACTACCTGCTCTTAGAGTTGTAAAGAGACAACTGAGGAGCTTCCTCTTTGTTTGTTTTTCATGAGAAAAGGTTTTTCATACATCTCCTTTTTGTATGGCTTGCTCGTTAGGCCTTGCCAGTTGGTGAAAGAGGGTGGATTGGTGCCCTATTTCCTTTGAGGACAGAGTTTTGCTCAAGGCACTTTTCTCTTTAGAGGAAGTTAAAAAGGTGGTTTTTGGGTTGGATAGAAACTAAGCTCGTGGACCAGATAGTTTTTCTTTGGCCTTTTTCCAAGACAACTGGGAGTGTATGAAGATGTTTGTGGAAAGTATGTAGCGAGTTCCATGAGAGAGACAGTTTAGATAAATCGTTACATGAAACTTGATACGAAGTAAGGCGTCTTAATCATGTCACAAGGGCTTTAAGGTGGATGATGGAGTTGTACCCTACTTGCTGTTCCTGATGACAAAATAGAGTTGCATTTAGTGAACTCAATTGCAACTCATGCTTCATTAAAAACAAATCAATTTTCATTTATGGAAATAGTACCCCAATCTATTGCAAACCACTTCAAGAAAAGCTTTAATTACTTTCAGATAGGTTACAAACTTTTGGTTGACTGATTAACATATTAACTCAGTGAGGTTTCATTGTATTTTTCAATGTTAAAATATTATTTTCAATGTTTTAGGTTATAGTTTTGCTGGTGGCCATAATGATATTGATGGGCATGAGAGTTACAACCTTTCAATTGACAATGAGTTATTTTCAAGGTGGTTATAAATAGTCATTTCTGTTACTTTATAATTTAGATTTTGGATATTGTAATGAAAGTTGTATATTTTGCTTCTTAGAGCCAGAGTCTTTGTGGCACATGATTGTTGCATGTAAATGTGTCTGTTTCTAGGCTGGTCATTCCTGTGGTCTCCAGATGCACATTTAGAAGTCCTTAGAAAATCACCCATTGCTTACCTTGTTTTATTAATGAATTCAAATTCTTGGTGGTTAATGGGGCTTGCATTCCGCTGTGGAAAGATTTGTGGTTCAATTAGTGCTATGGATGATTTCCTCCTTCATTTTGATTTTGATTTTAGAGTGCCTCTTTGAGATGCTGTGTTTGAAGACTTGTCTTAACTTTTTGTGTTACAAGCTATTTGTCTCGTGTTATAAACATTAGACTCATGTAGGTGGGTCTTGAGTCTTCGACGTTTCTTCTTAAGTCTCCTTTTCACTAAATTTCACATCCCATTTACCTTGCCCCCACCCTTCTTTCAATCTGATTGGTTGGCTAGAATTCCAAAGATCAAGTTGTCTGAATGTCTATTTCCTTGGTATGTCAAACATTGTGGACTTTGTCCGAAAATCTTCTTGGTCTTGGGTCCCTAGTGGTATGGTTCTGTGCAGATTTATGGCAAGGATTTAGATCATTTGTTTTGGCATTGTACTGAGTCTTGAACAGTATGTGGGACATGTAGAGTTAGTTTAGCTCCTCCTGTTGGTTTGTAAAGGATATGATGGAGAAGTGCTTGTTGACCCCACATTCAGAATGTGTTAGTTTTAAGCAACCGGCTTTTATTTTTTATTTTATTAATTTAAAGTTATTATTCTTTATATTATTATTATTATTATTATTTTGCATCTTATGAGACACTGGACTTGAGAGAAGTAGGAGAGCTTTTAAAAATATAAGAAGTCGAGAGACTGTTTGGAGTAGGTGCATTCCATGTCTTTCTTTGGACATGCTCATCTAATGATTTTGATTATTTTTTATCCTTGTATTCCTTTTCATTTGTTCCTTTGTTTTGGCCCTTCTATTTTGTAGACCTGTCTACGTTATTCTTCCGTATGACTTGGTAAAAGCTAGTTGCTTAATAATTTCTTTTTTTAGGCATTTAACAATTTTTTTTATAAATCTTTCTGTAGTTTCTGATTTCACAACCAAAACTATTTTTATTGCCTATGGTATTTATGTAGTTGGGAAAATCATGAGATTTATCCATATGTCAATTATTTTGTGTGGATAATTCAATCTATGTTCTCTTTAGGTGTTTGTGGTTGCCCTTGCTTTCTTATATTTGGATTAGGCTGTTGGGTAAAATATGTAATTGCTAAATAAGTGATTCAAGAGTCTTGAGGTATGGAAGTAATTGCCTTGGTTGAGGTTCTCAGCAGCGTGGGTTTTCCCTGCTTCATTACCTGACCTTCCATTTGAGTTGTTTGAAGGGATGCTTTTCTTAAAATGTTATTGTTGAATCTCTTTGTTGAAAACCACGGAGGGTGGAAACATGAATTTGTCATCATTGGAAAGGTTTTGCTCCATATTTGGGGTGCAACCAGGGGAGAGTTTTGAACCTTCAACTTTTTTATCGAAAATATATGTCTTAACCAGTTATGTTAGGCTTAGGTTAGAAAATTTTGGTAGGTTTTTGTCTTTCACCGCAGTGATTCAAAAAGTATATTAAAAGAACATTTCCTTTATATTCATTCTTCTGAGGTGTATCACCATTTCTCGTGATGATATCCCTATGTCTGACATGTTGATTCTAGTGGATTCTTCTTCTAGGAATTGTTTTTCAATTATTTCGAATGGTTTTATGTACCTTGATTTTGGAATCTCATTGGAACATTATTACTACATTTGTCTTCACTTTCATTTACTTGTCTATACAAGATTAGAAGTTGATCTTTCAACTTTGTTGCTTAGAGAAAATGGGCTTGAATTTTTGCATTAATGTGAAAATTCAAAATTTCTGGGTGTCAAATTATAAAATTTCTTGATTTACTTCGCATGCATCATGTGGAGTTACCTATTAACTGTTTCACGTAAATCTGACAGGAAGCCGTAAACTGCTGTGACGTGTCAGGTTCACTATTTTCCGACGCCAGTTATTAGTTTCGAATATCATCTTTCCAAACATTAAATCTGTTGAGCATTTGGAATAAAGTTATCCCTTACCAAAAAACGTGTGAACTTGATCCTTTGATTTCTTTGTTAAAATATCATCATGTTGACGTGTATTGAATCTTGAATATCATTTTGCTTTGTGGATTTAGTCTGATGTCTCAAATTTTTAAACTTTTAGTCGAGGTATTAGCCTTAGCACCTGATCTACTCAGGTCGATAATCTGAAATGAGATTGGAGGGGTTCACATTCACATTTTTCTTCCCCTGAAAGTTTATATTTGAATTTAATAATTTGAATGTATACCAAATAAAAATTACGAAAAAAAATCTAGAGTGTCAAGTATTTTTTTTTAACCTTTTTATTTAATTAATTGATTATGTTTTAGGTTTTTTAGGGTCCAGGTTCAACATCTTAAGCTTAGGGGCTTAAAATGGGGGTTCAGGGAGTCTAGATTTAAGAGAATTTTTTTAGGGTTAAGTTTAAGAAGTCCGGATTTGGAGCGTAGGATCAAAGTCTAGATTTTTAATGTAGATCTTGAAATCTTTGGAGTCCGTGATATATTTAATTGTATTGAATAAATAGTTTGATTTTATATCAGTTTGTAAATTAAATATTATTTTTATCTGCATGACATGCATGAAGCATCACATTCAAAATACTTATAGTACTTTCATATTTATTATAACATGATTTGTTGTGGACACGTAAGCGGTTCCATACATGCTTAACTATGGTACGCCGTAGTATCTTAAAGACTTGAACATAATCAATACATATAGCAAACATGATAACCCTTCAAGAAACTCGTGCATTCTAATGATTTTTTTCTATCAAAATATAAAACATTTCATAAAGTGTCGAGGACTTAAACATTCATAATAACATTAACTTAATTAATGTCTTGATCTAACCAAGCACTACACAACCAAATATGAATGCAACTAAACCAACTTCTCTTCCATGGCCTTCATAGCGATGTTGTCATGCGTACAAGTATTCTTCACCTTTACCTAGAAAAGGTAAAATGTGGCACCTACCTTTACCCGGAAAAAGTAGCATGCAATAATGATGAGATCTATTCTTTAATAAAACATCATGCCTTTGGTCTCTACTTTACGGTCTAGGTAGAATTGGATGTAAAGCACTTCTCTACACATGGCTCATGCAAGCGCACATGGACCACAAGCAGACGTGTATACGTATACAAGCAAACGCGTATACGTATCCACATGGACTATACCACATGCAGAAGCAATTTGAATCTTAAGCACTTTTAGAACATCAATTATAGTAAATAACTAGCATGTTCATAAGTATTAAAACTTAATGAGTTCGAATACTAGCCTTTTGAAGTTCAAATTCCTTTTTCCTCACGAACCGGTTTTGAACCACTAGTGTATTTTCCACTATCCTCCGGCCTTAGAACGGGATTGTGGAATCCGGTGAGTGACTAAACTTGGGAGGGATTTTGTATTTTCCACTATCTCAAGCTATTTATAGAGTTATGTATGTATGTTCATGCAAATTTGAGATCACCAAATTTTGACACTCAAAATTCCACTCAAATGATTGGGATTATGTGGCAAGCATGCAAGTTGAGTTCACCAAATTTTGACACCTCAAAATTCCACCAACATGGATTTTTCTTAATCCATTAAATGAAGTCAACATTTTGACTTTCTTCATTTTAATTCAACAATTAATTTGAATAATTAATTTCAAATTAAAGTAATATTAAATGATTAATTAAACTATTTAATTAATATTTAATATTAACTCAAAAGCCAATCCCAATTCCGACACATATTTGATTAAAATATTTAAAACTTATTTAAATATCTCAAATTCTCTCTTTTTGTTTAATTCGGAAATAAAACAAAAATGCGGTTAAATATATCGTATATATGTAGCGCATATTCCCTAATTTGAATTCGAACACTTCGAACTCTCTCGTCACACTGTTCTATTGTTTAGTCCGGTATGAGCCAGCAGAGGGACCTAATGGACCTATAGATCATGGGCTCCAACGATCCAAGATTAACCGGTTAAACTCATTAACCTTGTTAATCAACAACACTCGTTAACTACTAGGACACTCCACTATAGCCTAGTAGTTGCACTCCCCTCACTATAGATATATTTCTATCCATTTTATATAACCATGATTAGTAAGTCGATCCTTCACAGGTTGTTCGTAGCTAAAGCTGGGTCCATTAGCCGTTTTACTGCTAAAGTTGCTTCTTGTTCCTTATGTCCCACTGATCCTCTTATGAACAATTGGTTTGTAGTCCAACCAGTAAACCGAATCCCTCTCAGGCCAATGAGTGGGTGGGGCCCCTTGTTCAAGACCTAGAGTCAATACTTAAGGAAACTATCTCTCTTCTATCCCTAAAAGTGGGTAGGAGCGAATTCCATCTTGCACCCCACGTCCCCAGCTATTCACCCAGTCTTACCCCTGAAATGGGAGGCCTATTGAGTCGGCAAACTCGAGCCACTCTCACCCATGCAAATCTAAGGATAATTTCGAATAAACAAGAGTTCATGGTTAGCTCAGGATTAAGATCAAGTTACCTAGGTCATCGAATGAAAAGAAAATCAGTCTCAACAGTAAACGACATTATAAAGTGAGAGTGGTTTTCTTCATGGTTCGATCTTATGCAATACTCATTGCATAGAACGCCCCCACTCACATGTCTCCACATGTACAATTTAGTGATCACATTATTTATATCATATACAAAAGTGGGCCGCATCCATAGTGTCCCTAAAATAAGGTACTCAGCCTTATCTTTATACTATAGATCATTTTGACTATATATTTGAACTTGATCCACTCTTATGTCTCTACATATAGTTCAAGTAATCATACTATAGCCAGAGTGCTTAGTTTATTGGATTTAGATTAATGATCGTAAAGTTCACTTTATTCAATAACAATCTTTACTAAATAAACAACAATAATAACTTTATTGAAAATAGAATATGTTTTTGTTTACAAACTATGAGTTTTAAGACATAAAACCCAACAGGCTAGTGTACACTCACACTGCAAAAAACTGTAGAGGGAAAGGAACACACATAATATTATGGTGTATATAATACCGTACTGTACTCGTCCATACTAGTCATAAGAGAGAAGTATTTTAATGCATGTGACATACAACATGCATGAGGTCCACATAGTTTTAAATCATGACATATATGTATGATGTAGACTATACGTTTGTTCTTTTCGTAAATATAAATTTCATGAACAATAAATGCACCTTAATAGTATCTCATAAACCTGGAGTGAACATTTCTAACACAGTGTGTAGAATAACATATAGAGGCTTTATGCATCATACAACATTGATTTCACGACAAGATCCAGAACATAGCATAATCGTTTCATGGTATAACCTATAACATAACATAACTTATATCATAGCATAAACATAACACGACACGTATAAGGGTCGTAAGGCACGCACCACATACTACATACAATTCAGTCAACAGTAAAGCCTCTTATTTGGTTGTCCTAAGCCGAGGTCACTGTGCTCCCTTAATACTAGCTTAAAATTGCTATTTGAGATGCAACTTAGAGTCCTAGCTACCAATAAAATTCAATACACAGGCGCGCAACATATCTTCCAAAGTTTGGTTCAAACGTTCAGTTTGATCATAATTGAGGGTGGAAGGAAGAACTAAAGTCAAGGCGGGTACCCAACACTTTCTGGAGTCTGCGCCAAAATGTTGGCGTAAAGCGTGGGTCTTGATCCGACATTATCGTCATCAGAAATCTCCATACAACCTTACAATTTCTTTCATGTACAACTGTGCCTAGTTATCTACCGTAAAGTTGTCTTGCTAGGTAGGAAGTGTGTCGACCTATGGACTACGATGAAATCCATAGCGATGTTTTTCCACTTCCATTTCAACACACTGAGGGTTGCAATAATCACGTTGTCCTCTATTCAGGGGCTTTCACTTATTGACATACCAAACACTTACTTACTAAATCTACTATGTCCTTTTTCATACTTCGCCGCCAGAAATATAGTTTCAAGTCTTGATACATCTTAGTACCGCTTGGATACATAGAGAACGGTGAGTTGTAAGCCTTAATTAGTATCTCATTCCTCAGTTCCTCCACTACTAGGACATATAGTCGTCCTTGACATAGTAACCCACCATTTGATGATTTTGAGAAACTGTCCACCGAGCTCACTGTTAACTGACCAAAAATCTTGGCTAATATGGGGTCCACTCGTTGAGATTCAGTAATCCGCTGTTGAAGTGTGGGTTGGACTGTGAGTTGAGCCATCTGAGCTACAACTCCTTCAGTTACTACTACTATATTGGCTCATTCGAAGTTCGGCTGCACCCGTAACTCTCTGGTGTGAGGACCGGCGAGTGTGTTGTTTTCTGGCTTAGAGCATTGACGACTATGTTTGCTTTTATAAGGTGGTATTGAATGTCTATGTCGTAATCCTTCACCAATACTAACCATCTTTGTTATCGCATATTTCAATTCTTTCTGAGTAAAAAAATATTTCAAGCTTTTGTGGTTCTTAAATTTGGGTCTTTTCTTCATACAGGTAGTGTCACCAGATTTGAAGTGCAAACACCACTATGACTAACTCTAAGTGATAAGAAGGGTAGTTTGCTCAAGTCCTTCAAGTGACGGGACGTATATGCTACAAACTTCCCATGTTGCATCAATACACATTCTAGTCCCTTCTTAGAGGTGTCACTATATATCACATATCCCTCTAAGCTCTCAGGAACTGTGACTACTGGGGCAGACACTAGCCTTTGTTTTCGGCCTTGAAAGCTTGCCTTAAGCACGAAACTCCATAAAAATGAAACACCCTTCTTCCGTCAATGGTGTGAGCGGTGAGGCTATCTTGGTGAAGTCTTACACAAAGCGTTAGTAGTACCTTACTAGCTCCAAAAAACTACATACCTTGGTAACTGTAGTCGATCAATTCCACTTAATGACCGCTTTGATTTTGGTGGGATTTACTGAAATTCCATCATGCGACACCACATGCCCTAAGAATAAGACTTGTCATAGCCAGAATTCACATTTAGAGAAATTTTCGTACAACTTATTCTCTCTCAAAATTGTTAGGACTTTTCGAAGGTGCCTAATGTTCTTGATGTCTTTAAGTACACTAGGATGTCATTT